GTAAGATATGCAGGAAGTCGATGGATGCAGGTGGCTCAGGACCGTGCTTTGTGGCATTACTTGGGGGAGGCCTATGTTCAGCAGTGGACTTGTGAAGGGCTGTAATGATGATGATAATGACTGCTGTGTTTCGTGTGGTGAGTGTAGAGATCCGGAGACCCATTTTTACTGGAAATGAGGCATTCCGCCTTAGTCCTCACGGGTGACAACGCATCTGCATTTTGATTCTTAAAAGAGGATAAATTTAGATGTCTATGGGCCACAGCATCCACTTACCATCAGATGGACTGTGTGCTCGTTTCTCACCCTCATTCTATAAGAAAAAGAATAATAGGCTGAGCCACACTTATCATACAGTGTGTGTACTTATATTATTTTCTGTTTTATATTTTTTGTATGAAAGAGGAATGTGAAATTAAAGGTCTCCGTTTGAATGCTAATAAAACTAAGGTTCTGGTATTTGAAAAGAACGAAGAGAGAACGAAATGTGAAATATGGGTAAATCAGGAACGTCTAGAACAGGTAAATGAAATTGTATACTTGGGGAGTGCTTTCAGCCGGGATGAAAGATGTGATTTAGATGTGGATAGACGCGTCGCTGCCGGAAACAAAGTCAATGGTGCCCTGAATGCATTAGTCAAAAGGCAAGGCGTGGTGAAGAGTGCACGCCTTGCAATACATAACGCAGTGTTGGTACCGACTTTGTTATATGGCAGCGAAACCTGGGTATGCCAGAAGAAGCATAAAAAGCAAGTTGAATGCAGTGGAGATGCGATCTCTTCGTAAAATGTGTGGCGTTACCATAGCCGATCTAAAGCGAAACGAAGAGATTCGCAATATGGCAGGATTGAAAGATGACCTTATCATAAAAATTGATAGGGGCGTACTCCAATGGTTTGGGCACGTTGAGCGAATGAGTGAAGACCGAATGGTAAAGAAAATATATAGAGCGAAAGTAAATATTAAAAGGTGTCGAGGTAGACCGAGACTAACTTTCGAAGACCATGTGAGCAAATTGCTCGAAGAGGGGAAGGTCAAGAGTACTCGGATACCTAGACGTGCATGTATGAAGAAGTTAATGAACCTGAAAGAAGCGAAAGAGGTATGTAAGGATCGTGACACTTGGCGATCTGTTCTCTCTGGCTACCCCGTTAGGGATTGTGCGTGAAGATAAGTAAGTAAGTAATAAGTTTTAATCGGACCAAAAATTAATATTAAAAAACTGAAGGTAGCCGAACTAACTATGACATTGGGACGTCAAACATCTCAGTCCCCCCGTGACCATGGGCGCTGTAAAGCACCCGAAACGTCGGGATAATAATAAAAATAAATTAAAGTAATTAAACGCGATAAAATCCGTAAATAATAGTTTTATTCAATGTGTAGTGTTCGCGTAAATTTAAGAAATCATTATAATAAGTTTTGTACAATATGTTGTTAATGTCGAATAAATCATTATATCGTTCATACATTACCCAGCCTTCGGTCGGGAAGAGGTCCAGCAACCTTGTCTCCCGTGGCGACGTCCAGCCGTAGATAGTTACTTCACATCGGGCTGATAGTCTCTACAGCAAATGGCACAAATAATATATAATATTGTCATCGTCTAAAGACTCATATTTGCGCAATATACTCAGTTCAGCCGCCTCTGATGTCGTAAAAGAGGTACCCCTGAGATGAGAGACCGCCAAAGAGTCACAGCGTGTTGCATTCCTCACCTACTTACAAATACTTTGAATAAAAATTTAATTGCATTATGTATTATGTCTAATTATCTAATTTTAATTAATGTGAAATATTAAAAAAATATTACTTCACGTAAATACTACACATGAAATTGTGGCCGTGGAAGGAAAAGGGGAGATCTCCCCGCCGGGCAAGGTGTTCTGCCCGGGGAGCGGCCAACGGTCCGAATGATACGAGTAGTTCGGAGAAGTTCTATATATACTGTCTATGATTGGGAATGTTAATAGCGCGATTTAGGCTTCTGTGTGTTTCGGTGTGCTAGTGGCGCGACGACAGCGCCGCTACATCACCCTCCTGCTCAGACCGGAGGTCGATAGTGCAGCCTCGTTGCCGACGAATGTGCAAGTGCCAGGAGATTGCCTTGTAGTCTGCGGTGAGTCGAGAAGAAGGCAAGTAATCTGCGAGAGTGCCGTGAAGCAGAGGCGAGCAGTAAGGCTCAGAGCCGTGCCAAACACTGTATAGCTTGAAGGAACAGGAAGCATTATTATTCCAGTGCTGCGATGAACCTTGTGAAGCTAGATGGCTTGCAGGATATGAAGACTGCAGACGATATCTGTTCGGGAGCGAATGGGTGGGGTATTTTATGACGATGATGAAGCTTGACGTTTCCGAAGGTTGTTGGTTGCGTGTTCAGATCACGTCGGGGTCACCACTGTGGCCGTGGAAGGAAAAGGGGAGCCGGGCAAGGTGTTCTGCCCGGGGAGCGGCCAACGCTCCGAGTGATAGTTCGGAGAAGTTCTATATATACTGTCTATGATTCGGAATGTTAATAGCGCGATTTAGGCTTCTGTGTGTTTCGTTGTGCTAGTGGCGCGACGACAGCGCCGCTACACAAAATAAAACTTATTTTATGGATTTTTATTGCGTTTAATTTAAACTTTTTGAAACCCGACGTTTCAGTCAGTTTATCCATGGGGGTGGCTGAATTCTTTGACGTTCTGATGTCATAGTTGAATAAAACTACCTTCAACTTTTTAAATTAACCTCAGGAATTAAAAATAAAATAAATTAAACGCGATAAATCGGTTTTGCTTTTTTTTTCTATTTTATCTACGTTTTTATAATCTGAGTCACATAATACATAATAAACATTGAATTTGTATTACCTATTCTAAAGTTATTTATATGAAACGACGTTATCAGTATACAATAAGAAAGCTGTTAAACTGATATTTTACTTCGCCGTTATCAATAAATTATCATGCGCAATGTGTCATAGTAAAGAAATGAATGAACTACATATATTTCTTTGATCAATATAAGACCGCTAACTTACTCACTACTACAAATCATCACACAATCATCATCATTTTACTTAAAACTGGCACAGTGACCAAAGTTTATAAGTTTGCCACAATTAACAGAAAAAAGTCATTACTAGTTCTCGGCTGAACAAAGGAAAAGAACATTACGCTTGGCAGGTGGTTTGACGGAGACGATATAAGACATGACGATGCTGATAGTCGTCGGTCTAGGTAGCTGTACGTCACCTGGTACATTGACTAAAGACAAATTCAGTAGACCAGTACGAATCAATGAGTGTGAGACTAAATCTGAAAATGTAATAAGTCTTAATTCTTATGGTGGATATTTATATTTTGATAACCCTTAACCCTTGGGGTAAATTTCGGCTTTTTATTATTATTACAGCCATTCACAAATTCTCTGCCGACCACATGCCTCCCCCAAGGAATGACATAAAGCACGGTCCTGAGCCACCCGCATCCATCGACTTTCTGCATCTCTTATCAGGTGCCACGCGAGTATAATTAAAAAAAAACTAAACTTGGATTAAAATGTATATTTTACGCCTGGCATAAACGATATGATTATACCGCCATCTATCGGAAGCCTTAAGATAATTATGGCATATCTTACGTGAAATGAGATAACAGATTCTATTACACTGACTTATCATGGTTGTTTGATGTTGCAAAATAAATTGGGACAAAAACGTTTTACCGCTTAAATTCACCAATCATCCCATGGATGTCGAGAGGCGACAGAGGGGTTGCTTGTACACGCAAGTACGGCCTAACATTGAATACTATTCTCGTCTCTGAGCCGACGCACCTCAGTACCAACTCCTTCCACTTGACCGTATCTAGCACAGATCGGCTCGCGGTTTTTCTGATTGGCTCGATTCACTGGCGCTGTGAAGGGATGTTGCATCCAAAGATGAAGAAGATGTTGCCGCCAAATTTCACGAACGCACATCGCGATAAAACTCACGAAACCATCGACACCATCTGGATGCTTGGCGGTCCACCACTGTGCGTTTTATTATGAGTTTTCTTCCTCGCACAACCTCTTTGTGGAATTGTTTACCACCGGCGATTTTTCCAGACTAATACGAATTAGGGACATTTAACAACTTACACCATTCTAAAAGGCCGGTAACGCATTCGCAATTCCCCTGGTGTTGCAGTTGTCCATGAGTGGCGATAGTCCCTTACCATCAGGTGAGCCGCATGCTCGGTTGCCTATACTATAAAAAGGTAGATTGAAAGAGAGGATGGGCAGCAGCATCTTAGTGTTAACAACTCAAAGTAATACAAAGCTGCGGTTGCCAACCGTCCTGTCAGTGTATCGAAAAAAAAACCTTAGTTCTTTAGTGGACTTTTATAGGCTGTAGCGATAGCTATGCTTAAGCTTTTCATAAATTAAAAAAAAAACATTAAATGCACTTTGATAACTATTTAGTGGCGGAGTAAGAATATCCACTACACCATATCGCCCCGTGGGTGTCGTAAGAGGCCACAAAGGGAAACAATCCAGGTGATTGACAGCAGCGTCTTTGTGATAAAAGTTAAAAGTTAAAGTTACAGCCTATATACGTCCCACTGCTGGGCACAGGCCTCTTCTCATTTCTGAGAGGGTTTTAGGACAAGAAAGTGTCCGTCGCGCTGCCCCAATGCGTGTTGGCGAACTTCACATGTCTTCGAAACATTTTTTTCTTATTCCTCAGACATGCAGGTTTCCTCACGATGTTTTCCTTCACCGCCGAGCACGTGGTAAATCAGCACTTAAAATTGCAATTAACAACATTGGCGCCGGCGGGAATCGAACCCGGGTTACTCGCGTTCTTTGTGATAACGACTCAAAATTATTAAAAACTGCTTATACCAACCGGTCTGCCAAGCGTGGCAACTACGACATAATACACCCTGTGAAACAACCTATGGGTGCGGCCTGTGTTCAGCAGTGGATTTTATAAACTGTAATGTTATGGTAACTGATGGCATTTTGCGCAGGTAGCGAATATAACCGAATGCCACCGCTATACGGCCTCGATGACTTTGAGGCTTGCTTGCTGGAACCCGGCGGCACATACTGTCTAGTCGACGCTGATCTGTTTTCGGAGAGACCGTCAGACCTGATGCATCTCATACAGGTAAGTTAATTCTTCTTTATTTAAAAAAATCTTTACCTTGATATTAGAATTTTCTTCTGTATCGTGGAAGTAGTTTACATACATAAATTATATCAAACATCGAGATACGGAACAATTATTTGTAGGCTATTCAAATATTTGTTCCGCGAAGGAAGAGCTAGCGCGCCTCAGGGCTGCAACTCATTGCCAAGTCACTGCGCCACGAAGCTTCCAAGCGATATTCTTCCCTCCGAGGCAGAATTATTAAACGATAGAAATGTAAAAATTGACTTCAAAAACTAAACACAATAAAATACTTTCACGTAATTTTTGCTAAGACATAGGACATAACATATATAAACTTTCACGCCTGTCACCCAGAGGGGTAGGTAGAGACCACGGACTTCCATTTAGCACGATTCTGACACACCTCTCTCGCCTCCTTTACATTATATAGATGTAACGCACTACGCATACATCGACGAGCATGTAAGTTTGTCGGTTAAGGATATTCTTAGATTGGTTGATTTTCAATATATCGCCAATTTGGTCGATAAATTTCGATATGGGGCGAAGGGCGTCCCTTACCGACTCTACCGTGCACTTTCTGCAATATAGATTTGCTTTGTCACTCTTTCCTCGTTTATTTGCTCGTTCTTTCTGCATGACCACTGAAGGATTTCATTCTTAATGCTGTTCATAACATATCATAATATCATCATCACCAGACATTTATTGAAAATTTTCCTCTTTTTTTAAAGTTTTTAAAGTCAGTTTTAATATTTTAAAAAAGTATTATTTTTACGGCTCTGCAGTTGCGTTATGACTTTAGCACGAATATATCAGTTGGACTGACGACCGACGAAAGGCCACGCTATTAGTCTTTAATATTTATATAATATTGTAATGTTTTCACATAGAGGGTAAGACGAAAAACATCAGTCGTTTGTCCGATCATTAAACGAAGCATATACGTTAGCAAATTACTTGTGTTTTATTTTAAATAATATCACAAATACAACATTTTGGCGACGAGTTTCGTTATCTACGTGTGCAAAAAAGTGTTATTAAGAAAAGAAATTATGGCTAGCAGTGCTAATGTAGTGTTCGGAGGCAGTCTCAGTTTTGACCACCGAATTCACGAGTGGAGTATTTTTAAATGCCGATTATTGCGGTTTTATACCGCTAATGATATAACGGAACAAACGGACAAAACTGGTGTTAAGCGTCGATCAATTTTACTGTTACAGAAGACACGTTCCGCATCCTCAGAGATTTAGTGGTACCGAAAGAACTTGATGATACAGAGTGCAAAGTGCTTATACATTATTTACACAAACGTTTTATGCCAAAGAAGTGTACATTCGCAAAACGTTTTAAGTTTTATAATACTGAGCAACGTCCAGGCGAGGGATTGGCTGAATGGGCGGCCAGAGTACGAAGTCTAGTACAATAGTGTGGATTTAAGAGCGAGCTTGATATTGCCTTGCGTGACCGATTCGTATTAGGACTAGAAAACATATCAGAAAAAGAAAAGTTATTATCAGAATGCATCGACACCTTGACGTTCAATAAAGCGTTCGAGTTAGCACAGGTTTGCTTTGCGCGCGACCTGCTTTACAAAGTAATTTGGAGACTACGCGTGACTCATCACCATCACAGTTCACAGCGGACGATATTTGCCGTGCGCGCGAGTACATCACAGTTGGAATCACAGCAACAACAACAACGAAAAAAGTTTTGTGAAGTATGCGGTTATAAGATCCATGTTAAAAATCAGTGTAGATTTATTAATTATACGTGTCAAAAATGTTATTTGATGACATTTTTGACATGTACATTTGAAACGAATCTGTAAAACACGAATAAAGAACAATAATTTTGTAAGGGAGGAAGGAGACGACATTGTCGAAGGTGAGAAATTTTATAACATTAGGTCAGTAAATGGTGAGCCTATGCAACAGATGGTAACGATAGCTGACGAAAGCATTTTATGTGAAATAGATAGCGGTAGTGCCGTTTCGGTGATGCCGACGATGGTGACAGTGATGCTGACGATGATAGTTACAGCGGACGCGGGTACTGAGGGCTTAGGCGCTGTACTGTCGCAAGTACAAGGGAATGGCGAGGAACGAGTCAATGCCTATGCATCACGTTCTCTTTCGAAAGCAGAGTGCAATTACGCACAGATTCAAACAGAAGCTGCGGCCCTTATCATCGCGGTGAAAAACTTTCACAATTTTTTATATGGTAGAATGACATCGTTTATTTTGCGTACAGATCATAAGCCGCTCTTAACAATATTTGGTGATAAAAAAGGAATCCCAGAGTTGGCATGAAATCGGTTACAAAGATATGCTCTATTTTTGTCAAGTTATAATTTCAATATTAAGTATATTAAGAGCGATGATAACATTGCAGACTTTCTATCCCGATCAATAGACGGTATGCGCCATTGCAACTATGTGCTTAGCCTAGACATACATGTTTGTACGTAAATTTTTAATGAATAATATTTTGAAACCGGTGACGTTAATTGACGAAGTTAGCGATGGCCAGGAAAATTACTAAATGATAATTTTAAACCTTATTATAATTGTAGGTTTGAACTTCGCGTAAAAAACGGTTGTCTTCTTAGGGGGCATAAATTAGTACCTACAATATTTAGGGAGCAACTTTTAAATGAGCTTCGTAGTTCCCATTTTGGAATTGTGAAAACTAAGGCGGAAGCGAGATCGCGTATGTGGTGGCCAAATATCGACAAACATATTGAACAAAAATAGGTTCGTGTAGCATATGCAGTACAATGCGATCTGCCCCGCCACACTCTCCGCTCTCTCCATGGCGTTACCCGGAGCATCCTTGGGAACGTGTGCATCTTGACATGTTTTCACTAGAGGGTAAGCATTACCTCGTCATCTTTGACGCTCATACCAAGTGGATTGAATGTTATTCTATGCAGTCAACAGACACCCTATCGATTAATATAAAATTGGAAGACATTATGAGTAGGTTTGGTTTAATGAAAGTATTAGTAACGGACAACGCGACAAATTTCTGTTCTAATGAGTTTAACGAGTTTGGTAGTGTTAACGGAATAAAACACATCATAACAAGCCCTCCTCGTCCTCATCCGGCCTCGAATGGACAAGCGGAAGATGACTTTATAAGCATTGTGATGTCGGTGCAACCTCGTGTTTTGTAAGAATATCCAATACCCCATGACGTTCAGTGAGTGTCGTAAGAAGTAACAGAGAGAAACAGACCAGTACTTATGGGAACGGCTGGTGATGCAAGATAATCCATCAACACATTTCGTCCCATGGGTGTCATGAGAGGCGGCTATTGGAAGTGCCAGATATAGAGCTTCCGATAAAAGGAATATTTCGCCAAGCTTGTCAAGAGCGACAATTAATTTATATTTTTATTTTATTTATAATCATCCTCGCAAAGAGGTTGTGGCCGGTGAAGGAAAAGGAGAGATCTCCCGCCGGGCAAGGTGTTCTGCCCAGGGAGCGGCCAACACTCCGTGTGATAGTTCCGAGATGTTCTATATATACTGTTTATGATTCGGAATTTTGATAGCGTGATTTAGGCTACGGTGTGTTTCGCTTGTTTCGCGTAGTAGTGAAATTTTAAGAACTCAAAAAGAAGAAAAATCGTTTTATGGCTCAGTAGCAAAGTGGCGGTAAAGCAGGCCCTGGTTTCGAACTTAAGAAGACTTTATAATACAGTAAAATATCTACAATTTATTTTAAGAATTTTTAATCTAAGGGTAATATTTTAAAAAGATGAAGTTAACATCTATAATATAGTTACACCCTATATACGTCCCACTGCTGCACAAACCTCATTTCTGAGAGGGTTTTAGGACAAGGAAGTGTCCGCCGTGCTGCCCCAATACGTGTTGGCGAACTTCAAATGTCTTCGAAATATTTTTTTTCTTATTTCTCAGAGATGTAGGTTTATGCTCACGATGTTTTTCTTCACCGCCAAGCACGTGGTAAATCAGCACTTAAAATTGCATTTAACAATTTCATTGGTGCCGGCGGGAATCGAACCCGTGTTACTCGCGTTCTGTTATATTTACAGCCAGCGTTAACCATCTGAGCTATCGCGGCTCTTTAACCATCTGAGCTACCACGGCTCTATAAGTTAACATCTATAGGTGTTCTTTATTACAGGAATACTCAGCAGACGTAAAGAAACATTACAACCATACGCAAATACACAGGGGAGTGTGTGTAACAAAAAGCTGTCAACATTTAAATTATACTTGGGACCTAAATGAGACCCTTGAAGTATGCTTGAATGAATCCATTTGGAAAGAATACAATATACAAGCAAAACTAAGTCATATACACTATTGTAAACGGGACGTAGACCATGCAGTTTTGGATGTGAGTGACTTTGTTGTGATCATTGTTTATATGGTCCTAATTGCACTCAATATAATAGGAAGCTTGTACGATGTCCTTTTCTGTCATCAAAATAGCAAATCAGGTAATGTTCAACTTATTTTACGTTTTATTTTAGGTTCTCCTGGCAAAGTTCATCACCGAAACTTTAGATTATTTTCTAAAGTTTTAGACCTTGCAGGAAGCTATAAATAGCAAGCACAGATATTAGTGACTCTTTTTATATAGGATAAGGTGACGAACGAGCACACAGTCCATCTGATGGTAAGTGCTTGCTGTGGCCCATAGACATCTACATCAATCCTCATTTGAGAATTAAAATGCAGGTGCGTTGTTCCTGATTTTGATAACACACTTAACGGAAACTACAGGGTTTTTGTTATATCTTGTGTATGTCTACCGCTGGGTGGTAAGGAAATGTCTGCTGCATGGCCCAAATCGTGTTGAGGAACTTTTTTTTTATTTTTTTTTTATTAAAAGAATATTAACAATGCTATAAACATTACTAATATTCCCCTTATCACTCGTGGTAAGCTTAAATTGCTTGTGTTACGAGTGGTTCACGCCAGTAGTCGAATGGTGGATTTGAACCCACGACCTTTTTGAGTTCGCGGTCCGCGCCCTGCCATTAGGCTACTGTCACTAAAAACTTCAGATGTATTTGATTTTTTTTAATGTTCAAGTCACTCTCTCACGCTGTTACAGTTGATATGTCTTAGAGGATTTAAAAGTAATATAATAGTCGTATTACTTATTAAAGAATTTGGTTTAAATACATATTTAGCTGTTAAGAAAAGAGCCCAAGTATACCGATTGTCGAAAAATTTTATTACTACTTCAGTTTTTTTATAGAATAGGATGACAAACGAGCACACAGTTCACCTGATTGTAAGTGAATGCTGAGGCCCGTAGGCATCTACATCTGTCCTCGATTACGAACCAAAATGCAGATGCTTTGTCACCCGTGAGGACTAAGATGGAATGCCTCGTTTTCAGTAAAAAGCGTCTCCGGTTCTCTACACATACTATACGAAAGACAGCATCATTAAGCTGTTATTTTACGCTGGTATTCTGTGAGAGCGTGGTCCTTCCCCGATCGAGCTGACCCATTCGTGCTATAACTATACTATTAATGTAGCTGTAGCATGGCTCTACCAGAAGACCTGCTATAAGACTATGGGAAATGATAAAAATAAAAATATGTTAAGGCTGTGTTGATATAACTGTGGCTGTGGAAGGAAAAGGGGAGATCTCCCGCCGAGAAATGTGTTCTGCCCGGAGATCAGCCATCGTTCCGAGTCCGAGTGGTAGTTTGGGGCTATTTTATATATACTGTTTTACCTCGGAACTTTTGTAGCGTGATTTAAGCTTCCATGTGTTTCGCTTGTGGCGCGACGACAGCGCCGCCACATAACGAACACGTTATGATAAGATTAACGATGAATAGCAGCGTCAAAGGTGCGAGGCGTCTCGTACTGTGATCGTCAATTCATCTGCAATGCGTAACCATTAAGGCAAATCCTCACTACAACGGGACAGGCTAATGTTCATCCGTGGGCTTTTACAAAATTATCGTAGTGTTCATTTAATATCCTATAAAGGTATATCAGATTCCAGTTATATGGTTTTAAAAGAACAACTAAACTTACAACAAATTTCATTAAGCTTCGTAACAATTTCATCGTCAAAACTGGCCATGGGAATAACTACTTTTGTCCAAATTCTTGTAATTGTCAATACCATCCACACTGTACTGTGCTGATGCTGCTGAAAGATTTTACGGTAATCAAAACCTGTCAAGGGGTCACGCGTTTGACCAAATATATTTTTTTTAGTTATGTTATTAGATAAATTATTTATTTAAGTAGTAGTAATTATTATATTTCTATTATATTTTTTTTCAGCAAACGGCTTCGACATTATCTTATGGTTATGTCCTTAAGGTTGATGGACAGAGAATGCTTTTAGAAGTCCGCCTACTGTTCCCATTTTCCGTATAGTGGTGGTGTTAAAAATATCCTCCACTCCATACCATCCCATGGGTGTCGTGAAACATTTAACACACATACACACACACAAAACAGAAGACATCAAATCAGGAGATGGGTAGCAGCATCTTTCTAATAAACCTAACGATAAACAACTGCGGTTACCAATCCGCTTGCTTAGCGTGGCAACTATGGCAAATATCCCCTATGAAGCAATCTATGGGAGAGGCCTAGGTTCAGCAGTGGACTTTAATAGGCTGTAACGTTAACAATTTGTTCCTATACATTATGCACGGTTCTTACGTGGTAGAGTCATGCTGCAGCTATTTTAGTAGAATAGTTGTAGCTATCTAATGAGGAGCCGGAATATCAGCGTAAAATAGCATCTTAACGCTTCTGTGTTTCGTATCGTGAGTGTAGAGAACTGGAGACCCCTTTTGTTGGAAATAAGACATTCCATCTTAGTCCTTACGAGTGACAACACATCTGGATTTGGATTCGTAATTGAGGATAAATGCATATGTCTATTGGCCGCAGCACCTACTTACCGTCAGGTGGACTGTGGGCTCGCTTGTGACCCTATCCTATCCTATAAAAAATGGATCAACAGAAAATAAATAAATAAAATAGATAAGTTGCCTGAAAAGCTGCTGTCATGAAAATAATTAAACGTTTTCCCACCATGTTGTGACACTGCGCTCTGTAATTAATAATTCTTGTTTCAGGTAATCCATATGTACTTTCGTTTTCTCTACGGCGAAATTGGGAAAAATTGGTGGCGCCAAGTGGTGTTGGGACTGACCACAGACTGCAGAGGCTAAAGTCATTTCATGGTTTGAGGTTAGAAGTGCTTAATTACAAACATGTTTGGTTATTATATATTTTTATTATGTGTCTTGTTGATCTAGGGGTGGTAAACGCAATTGCTGTACATGAAGCCCTGGATTCGAAAGCCGGGTCAAGTCAAAATAAGTTTATTGAGTTTTTCTGTCAAGAAATACTCAATAGCAGCCAAGAGTCAGGAATTTGGTGGTGTTTCACCTCATACCTCGGAAAGCACGTAGAGCTGATGGTCCTGCACCTGATCTCTCTTCGGTCGTGTCGGATTATTGTCCCGTCGGACTATGAGATTTTGGGGAAAAAGAGTACACCTGTACTTGTTTAATCCTGTCCTTTTAATTTGAGACAGCTCGCCGGGACTGAAATTTAATCTGAAGGAAATTCGGCAGTATCGGCAGTCAATAATAATAAATAGGCAAGTAATAAATGAAAAATTTGAAGCAGATGTAGTGAATCCACTAAGCCCATGTCATCGTGTCAGTGTCGTAAGAGATTCTGAAATAAAAGATTGGAAGCAGGATCTGCTTGAAAAGATTTAAAAATAATTAGAAACTGTAGTTGCCAACCCTAGGCGTGGTAATTGTGGCAAACATTCCGCCTATGAGACCAAGTCCGGGCGCGGACTTGTAATAGGCCATCATAAATGAATGTCATGACTTGAATGAATATTTAACCACGCCTTACGCTTGCGCCACAAAAGACAAAACGTCAAATATCATGTCAATTAAAATAAAATAAAATAAAATACGTTTTAATTCCAGGGCCATGACAATGGTTTGCGTTATATTTTCACATGTGGCGCTCATCATGGCATATGCTTATATAGACAATACACTATATATTGAAAAGGTAAAATTATACTAATTGACTTGTAGAACGTTGTTCATTATTTTAAAAAGTAATCTTTAAAAAATAGTTAATTCATCACTATTAGTTTTATTTTATAGGATAGGGTGACAAACGAGCACATAGTCCACCTAATTGTAAGTGTTTACTGTGGCCCATAGACATCTACATTTATCCTCGTTTACGAATCAAAATGCAGATGCGTTGTCACCCGTGAGGACTAAGATGGAATGTCTAGTTTCCAATAAAAAGGGTCTCCGGATCTCTACACTCACCATACGAAACACAGCAGCATTAAGCTACTACTTTACGCTGGTATTCTGTGAGAGCGTGGTCTTTCCCCCGTCGAGCCGACCCATTTATGCTACAACCATAAAACAGCTGCAGCGTTGTTCTACCACGTATATTATAGGTTGTAGATAAATCACAATTAACTTACAGTAGATGGCGCGCGTGTTGTATGGACAAATCAATATGGACAACATCCATAAATGTATTATCATTTCAACATTTTAAAATTATTTGTCTTGAACCAAATACCAATAAATGTGAAATATTTATTTCTAATAATTTATCTAATTCTAACAGAGATACCTTAATTCAAAATTTCAATCAGATTTCTCCAGGAATAAAAACTGTCAATTCGGAATCGCTTTACCTGCTCGATGCTCCGTTGTTTTTCGATAGTATTAAACCTGTTTTAAAAACAAAATTTGATCAATTTTTAAATCACGTTGATAAATTATATATTTTAAACCCCCATATTGCCATTACCATTTTAAAATATTGTCTCCTTGTACCTAAATTTACATACTTGTTACGCTCAAGTCCAGTCTGGAAATGTTCGGATATTTTAAAAGATATTGATAGTAATCTTGAAATTGCTTTAAAAAAAATCTAAATTTGAGATTAAATACAATAGCCTGGAATCAAGCCACTTTACCTATCAAATTTGATGGTATTGGTGTAAGAAATATTTCTAGCGTCGCATTGCCTGCTTTCCTTGCTTCCGTGCATAGTGTCAATGATCTATGTAACACAATTTTAAATAATAAAGTAGACCTGTGCTTTGCTGCGGAGGCAAGGCAAACATGGCTAACGCTCTGTACCGGCGAAAATGTCCCACTGGAAGTTAACCAACAAAAACAGTGCGATATTCCGTTGGTACGGATTGAATTTATTTCAAAATTTCTACAGTCAACAAGATCAGGCTCGCCTTCTAGCCGTTTCGACTAAGGAATCTAGCCACTGGTTATATGCTCTACCAATGGCACATTGCTTGATGGAGAAAGCTTGCGCATCGCCGTAGGAATCCGGCTAGGGGTGGCAATTTGTCAACCTCACCAGTGCCCCTGTGGTAGCAGTGCCGATGAGTTTGTGCTCCTTGGACTTTCATGCAAGAAAAGTGCAGGTAGGTTTTCCCGTCACGGTTCTTTGAACGAAATCATCCGAAGGGCTCTTGTCTCCATAAATGTCCCCTCGGTTTTAGAGCCTTGCGGGATATTTAGAGACGATGGCAGGAGACCCGACGGTATGACTTTGGTCCCTTGGGAGAGAGGTAAAGCCCTAGTGTGGGATGCTACTTGCGTTGACAATTTGGCGGCCTCTCATCTCAAGGGTACCTCTTTTAGAGCCGGGGCGGCATCAGAGGCAGCCGAATTTAGTAAATGGCGCAAATATGAGTCTTTGAGAAATGACTACATATTTTTGCCATTTACTGTAGAGACTATCGGTCCGCGGGGTCCGCGTGCGGTGAAATTTCTAAAGGAACTGTATCAACGACTGGTCGTCGCTGCTGGTGATAAAAGGGCTGGTTCCTTCCTCGCTCAAAGGCTAAGTATAGCTATTCAGCGAGGAAACGCAGCCAGCGTTCTTGGCACTATACCACGGGGAGCAGGTCTTTTTGACTACAAATTTTTTTAGTTTTAGATTTTCTATATTATAGTTTCTTCTTTTATATTGTAAATAGTTTTAATCGTAAATATTATAATTTTAATTATTATTTTAGTTAAGTTCATTTTAAAGTTGGTTTTTTTAAAGAAAAATAAAAATTTAATATTTCTAATTAAACAATATAGCTCGGCAGCAACGCGCCATCTACCAGCTAGTCTGACATAATTTCTTTTCATAAAATTAAACAAAGGTTTTAAAAAAAAGTGACCATATAACTACTACATACAGCCCATCTGATAATAAGTGACTATTTGCTGCTCATGGAACCCTGCAACTAACTTCAAGCGATATCTTCGTTTGAAGTTAGTTGCAGGTTTTCATGAGTCACAGATGAGTTGTCACCTCTGGAACAAAAGTGTAGTGCCTCACAGTTTGTAATTATACCGACTCTCTGTACCTCTTAGAATGGAACACAATCAGTACACGCACTGTTGGTCTGCGGCAGAAGCAGGTAGGGGCAGAAATGAAGTTCTATTATCGTGACCATACTTAAAAATGATATTTACTACCAGTGCAAGAAATTGAATGTTTAAGAACGAACGTTTATCTACTAATATTTTCTACGGTTTCCATCCTATGCATGGCAGATCCACGTGTAAAACTGTATTACGGCTGCAGCACTAATATGTAAGTTCGACCGGGAAAGAACCCACGTTCACACAGAATACCGGTCTAAAATATTATAATGCTGCTGTGTTTGTATGTTGAGTGTCGAAACCCGGAAGCCTTTCTAGTATCGAAGCATTCCATTTAGAATTACACCGATTATCTGTTGGTTAGTGAGATTGAATAAAAGTTATAGCCTATACACATCCCACTGCTGGGCACAAGCCTCAACGCTGCGCTGCCTCAATTCGTGTTTGCGGAGATCATAAGTCTTCGAAATACTTTTTTTTTATTTCACACTCATGCAGGTTTCCTCTTGATGTTTTCCTTCACCGCCGAACACGTGCTTAGTCAAAAAATTAAAATTGCAATTTACAATTTCCTCATAAACGGTTGGGGTCGAGTTCTGGTTGCTCGTGTACTTTACATCGAGCGCTAAGCCCCTGAGCTAGTACGGCTCACGTAAGATTGAATGCCTTAATAAATAATAAATGTCGAAATAAAACAAAATTAAATTAAATATCTTCATTTCTTCCATTTTAAGAAAATAGTATTCGTGTGTCACATGTCATTTATTGAAAACAGTAAAATTTGTACTTGTGTTTTTTCCACTTATATTTGTTGTATCTTGCTTCCCCGTCTTGTGAAACTTGCATTTGATTTTCATAGTTTCCTTATCCTTCAGGCATACGAAGATCCAATTAAGCAAATCCTCTTTAACGGGCAAATGGTCGTCCACACTTTTTTCGTGATGTCAAGCTTCCTCTTAGCATACAACTACGAGATAAGTGCAGAGAAGCACAAGGTCTCATGGTGGCACTTCCCTAAAGGATTGCTATTGAGATGGATCAGGTAAGATAAAGGAAAGGGATAAATTATTCTTGTAGATTCAAAGTATAAAAATGATTTGTCTCCACTCAACCACAAAAGCCAGCACAATCGGGATACAGCATCAAGTTACTATTGGTTATGTGTTTGTGTGTTCTCTTATTTGTATCGATCTACGGATCTATGTTTTTTTTTGTAAATTATAACCGTTATCGGGGACTCCAAAAACCCCAGAAATCATAGACGAATTAGGGCACTAAGTTTTTAATTGCCAACTTAAATCCACCATCTTAATATTTTTATTGCCAGCAATTGACCCTTATTGTTCCCTACAATATTTGGTCAAGCAGCATCAAACTATCCCTAACCTTTGCCGAGCTATAACTCTTTAAAATTATTATGGCGGCTATTTTGTTATCCGCCTCTTTTAGCCATGGCCACATTCCAGCTCCGTCCGATGTCACTTTACTTACTGTGTTTCGCTCATCAAGCTTTTGAAATTATAAATCGCCATTTTGTGACTTAAAATAACGTCGCTTTACTTATTGTGTTTTGCTTATCAAGTTCTTTCATTTGGTGCTCATATCATTGGAGTTGCTGTGGAAATCATAAATCGCCATTTTGTAACTTCTGATATATTGGATTAAAAATAACGGTATTTAAGCAATTTTACATTATCTCGAGAACCACACGTGTGTACCAAAATTTTAGCCCGATAGCTTCGGTGTGTGGGTGAAATATTGATTGCAATTTTTTTACGTGAATTTTTGGACACGCCTTATAAAATATGCTATCCTTTTCCAAAGTTAAACTGGCCTATTACTCCTTTTAAACCAACTGCAAAAAAGATCGATTTTTTTTCAGTTTGACTATACTATTTACTTTCTTTTATTTTCTTTTATTTACTATTTTTGTGTGTATGTTACGGTCACGCAAAATCTTCACTGATTATAATCAATTATTTATTGAATATGCCTCGAGGGTTCACTGCAATATAAAAAACATAGTATTAAGTGTAGTGTTATTTTTTAGTTTACTCAAAAGGCATAAATTAAACTTAAAAAATTTTTAACCGTTTAAAACAATCCACATAGTTTAATAGATTCTAAAGTTGAGCATTTTTTTATTTTTTTTTATACACGTTGTCTTAGTGGTTTAACACGTATTATGAAAGTTCGATTATACGTTTGAAACATGGATTTTCCATTTAAATTTTTCTCGCAGGTTAACTCCAACGTACGCACTCATACTGGCCACTATTTCCACATTGATGAGACACATCGGCAGTGGACCGATGTGGGACTTGGTGGTAACCAGCGAATCCAACGCCTGCCGCCAGTACTGGTGGGCGCACGTGTTCTACATACAAAACTATATATACGACGACAAGCTTTGTGTCCCAGTGAGTTGGTAAGTGCTTTAATGGTAATTAGTGATAAAAAATCTGTGATAATAAAGTCGTATAGATGGCGGTTAAGGATATCGAATCTGATGTTTTCTGATTTAATTAAATAAAAGTTATACCTTTATTTAAATCTGGTAGTATATTGGACCCCACCAATTTGCAGACCTATTTCTGTACTGGCAACGCTCAGTGAAATTTATGTAAAAATTATTCTAAATCAAAAGTAATTTTTTTAAAGTAAATAAATTACTGCATAAAAATCAGTTTGATTTACTAGAATTTGCTCGACAACTGACGCCGGTGTTGAGCTGATTAAACATATTTTCTGTAAATGGGAGAATTCAGAGGATGCTGTGGGTACATTTTGTGATCTTTCCAAGGCTTTCGATTGTGTTAACTATGAGACATTAATCAGGAAGCTATATCTTATTATATCATATATAAATAATAAACCGCAAACAGTTGTTGTTAATGGAATCAGTTCATCTGAATCGGTAATATGTATGTGTTCCTTAGAGCTCAATTCTTGGCCCCTTCTTGTTCTTAGTTTACATTAATAGTGTGTAGTAATAATGAATCATGGTTAGTAATTCCTACTAAACATGATTCATTATAGCAAAGCCATGTCGTAGCTATATTATGGTTGTAGCACGAATGAGTTGGTTTGACCGGGAGAGGACTACGCTCTCGTAGAAATAACAGCTTAGTATGCTTCATATGGTGAGTGTAGAGAAATGGATACCCTTTTTACTGAAAAAAGGCATTTAATCTTAGTTCACAGACGTGACAGCGCATTTGCATTTTAAATCCTAAATCGATGATAGATCTAGATGTCTGTGGGCCACAGCATCCACTTACCATCATGTGTTGTATTAAATCTGGTGTGTATATTAAAAGAAAATAGAGTGAATAGACGTATACGGTGTTCACGCGCAAGCGAGTACTTATTTAGTGGCGACGATACTGAAGCATCGAACAAGTACAATATTGCTTACGACAAATCGTTATAGTTGATTAACATGTTTAATGATAATGATAAAATATTTTGAGCAAAAACAATAAAAATAAAATGGAACTGATAAAATTTAGTGTAATGTATTAGAGATCAACTGTGATTGCTAATCTCATGCACCTGTGATGACTGAACCAGTATTAAATCAAACAAGAATGACTATTAATTAACGTTATTTATAATCTATATTACATAATAGGTTTTGTTTTTATTTCTATTACATGACGCTATAGCATATATCAAACTCACTAAATGCGTATATCAAACTTAATTACCAAAATCTACGTAAATTGATCGGTAGGAACTGGATGCGTGTAGCCGAAGACCAGGCTAAGTAGCGCTCTTTGGGAGAGACCTATGTCTACCAGTGGACTAATGCAGGTTGATGATGATAATGATCACCCCGATAAATGCATTCTCAAAAATTCTTTATTCTCGATTCTTCGCTTTGATCCACCAAGCGTATCTTTCGAAAGCGTTAGCTCTTTGTATAGTGTATACACAACGAAGGCGTTTGAGTCTAAGGAGACTATCGGGAACACCCGGTTTCAGTTGGTCTGCTTCTGGTATAATATTACAAAATTAGAAAATATGTGCAGCCGTTAATAAGATTTACATTAACATTCCGTAACACACGTTTAACAAGAACATTAACCATTTCTTTAGGTATCTAGCAGCAGATACGCAATTATTCTGCTTGGGTCTACTGATTTGCATGACGTGCAGGACGATGCGGACCAAGAAGGTTGCTCTCTTAACCTTGTTTTTACTATCATTGCTCATTACATCCAGCGTCACGTATTTCCTAGATCTAGACGCCATCATTATACAATCACCTGAGTAAGTAATTTTTATTGTAAATGTTCTTGCTTTTTCATCCAGCGTCACCGATTTTCTAGACTAAAACGCCATTGTTATACCTACAATCACCTCATTAAGTATATTTTGTTACGTGTTTATCGCATTTTCATCCCCTAATTTTTTTTACAGCAAGCTTACTAGGGGATAGGGTTTTTTTCTGAGTTGGAGTTCATCTGGGTATTTATATTTATGCCGTCAAATGTTAGTGCATGCACTGGTGTGAGATATTCCATCTTAGTCTTCAGAGGTGACAACGCATCTATGTTCTTTCTTTGAAGTTGGTTGCTTTTGTCTATTGACTGCAGTTGCCACATACTATCAAGTGGGCTAAACTTTGTTACTTCATTTTTATTTAAAAAAAACATCATAAATTTCCCTGGCTCTTTAGGTTGAAGGTTATCTATAATCTACGATTAGTTGATTAATACGTGATAACTGCGGTTATACGAATAGATATTTATTTTCGTTACAAATTACAGTAAGTTAAATGGACGTTTTTGTTGTAGTTGGGTTTTAGTTGACATACGAGCTTGAGACCAACAAAAATATAGGCGGAACATTGCGTATCTACATTTCCAGCAACGTCCAAACCATGCAACCAAATTTCTTTAACAGCCCGTAAAAGTAATAAATAAGAAACATTACTGTATAATCTTTTTCATTTAATACGTAATGTTTTTATTTACATATAATATTTTTTATTTCTTTATAGAATAAGGGTGACAAACGAGCACACAGTCACCTGATGGTAATTAGATGCTTTTACCCACAGACGCCTACAGTTGTCACCCTTAAGAACGAAGATGGAATATCTCGTTATCACTAAAAAGTATATTTGGTTCTCATCACAAGCTACACGAAACAAAGCAAAAACATGCTATTTTATTTCGTGCTGGTGTTCTGAGAGAACGTTGTTACCCTTCCCGATCGCGCAATTCTATTCGTGCTACTGCCGTAATATAGCTGCTGCGTGCCAATACCAAGGATAAAATTGTGAAACCCTTCTGTTCCAGAACATGTCGAAACTTATATGTCTCGGACTACACTTTCAATTATATGTATATACCTGGTCACACTAATCTCTCCACCTACATCATGGGCCTCAGTGGCGGTTTCCTCGCTTACCATTGGCAGGAAGAGGGGAAGAATTTGGATAAATATAAGGTGAGCGATAGCTTGACCCAGTACTTACTTTGTTTCTAACCGTATTGTTATCCTACATCCTACGTACAATACCGACTTCAAAAATTCAAATAGAAAGAAATATGTTAATTTCTACCTAAAGCTCAGACCACCTAATAAAGATAGACAAAGCGCTTCGTATATTTCCTGGTCTGGAAACGTTGGTCTCTGAAATGCGTTCTCATGGAGACGAAGAACTCGGTCAGAAAATTGATTCTCACTTCCAGGTTTTCGCAAATGTTGCCGTTCGTGGCATAAGGTCGGAGTGCTGTGCAACATCAAAGCTGTACAAAAAAACTTGCGGGAAAGAACGATCCTAACGATAACGTCGCCAGGCTGGAGGGAAACACGCAGAGTTGCGTTCCCAACTTGCCAGTCTTTTGGCTAAGGCGGAAAATCTTATGGAAGAAATTAATTTCCTCCATAAGCCGACGCAGGTACGATCTATTACTACTCAAATGGCCACCTTGCCTACACATTTAACACCTGCTGCACCCAATTCTAGCAGCGGAAAAGAGGAACTCATGGCAGACATAGGGGCTTTCATTGGCAGGAAACTAGCTGTCTTCTAGGCCTGACTGATTGCTGAAAGGACCCAGCAAACAAGCCACTGACTACACTGAAAATGTAATGGGGGAGGTAAAGGCCAAGATCAAATTGGCAGAGTTTGGAATCGACTCCGTTCGCATAAAGCAAGCTGTGACAAGGGTTTACTACTCTAGATTACGGGACTTAACTGTAACTCAAAGGCGGACAAGCTAGCAGCGAAATTGCGCGAGTTTCTCTCTGATATGAACGTACAAATTACTCGCCCAATTAAAATGCGCGACGTTTGACGGAGGGACCTTGACGACACTATCAGCCCTAGCGAGATAGCAATCGCGATCGGCGATATTAAAGTTAGAGACGTTCGATAAATTCCCACCAGCATAGAGACGTGCTGAATGCAGAGCTCAATAACAGCGGTCCAAAAATAATTGCTGAAGGACGTGTATGTAAGGCTAGGATTCCACTCGAGTGAAACTACTGGTGCCCAAGCTGATGCATTACTGCAGATGCTTCGAGTAAGGGCGCGTGAATAGTAAGTGCCCTAACGAGACAAAAATAAGGCAGACAAAAATACCCGCTGCTACGCCTGCGGCCAACCTGGTTATAGACCGAATCAGTGCACCGCGTCGGCTCTGAAATGTCCCGTTTTCTCTGACCTCGGGTGCCATTCCAACCATAGATAGGGGAAAGAATGCCCTTAACCTGCAAAAAGGAGAGTTAGGAAGAGTAAGCTCAATCCCACTCCCTTCAGCGAAAAAGATTACAGCAGCACCTGTTGCTGCACCGGGCTCTGACTCGACAATGGAAATTGTTGAGACGTAAAATACACGCCTCTCACAGTCTTTCAGGGTAACCTGGACCCCCGCCGCAATGCGCAACATCTGCTTATGCAGACCATTGTGGAGTGGCGGGTTGCTCATGCAGTAGTAGCTGAACCCTATGCCGTACCCGACCATTCTCGCTGGTTTGACGAAAAATCGGGCTCCGTAGCCATCTACTGGGGGGGGGGGGGGTAGCGATGAGGAGTACCCTGGCTGTAGTGGTTGGTACGTGGCACGTGACTAGGCAATATAAGTGTCGAGCTCATCTCCCTTTTTCCAACTTCTTATAACACGGAAAGCATAGAGCAACATGGGCTACCAGCGGACCGGAAGTGCTAAAGTTAACAACTGTCTGTCAATTTTTATGGGAGAAATCTACGCACACAAGTGTATGTCTTTTTTTTTTTCAAAAAATATGATCTAAAAATTTGATCAAATCATTGTTTTATATTTTCGCTGTGAAAAGTCTGGAAGTGAATTTAAAGCGTAAAATCTTAGCGCCATCTACCGGAAAGTGTAGAACAACGTTGACCGAACCTGCTAGTATAATTATATCTCAAACCAGATTAGAATAGAATGACCAATAGATACCTTTAACCTTTAGTAATTTCAGATATACCAATGGGTGATTTGGTTGTTGTTCCCGATCGCAGTCCTCGAGATCCTCTCCGGGGCGATATTCTATCTCAGTGAAGACGACATGATTCCGACGGCCTTCAAAGTGTTGTACGCGACCCTGTACAAGCCACTGTTTCAGTTGCTAATAGTGACCTTCATCATAAGTTGCGTATTTAAATTAGAATGTAAGTATACTTCTTGTTAGGTCAGTGGGTGTTGACGCTAATGCAAACCTTCGAAAGCTAAGTCAGCGCTGAACTAAGTTGGCCTCGGTTTTGCTCTCGTGCCGTTTAATGATCATAATCACCCCGAAAAATCAAATTGGCGAAGCGGTGTAATGCTTGAGCCGCCTCCAGCTGGAGGTTATCCTATCTTAGAATTTGTGCTATCCTTGTAATCTTCTTTGAAATGGTGATTATAAACCAACACTACGGTGTAAGAAGTGATGCTCTTAAATTAATTATTTCATATTTAAGTGACAGAACGCAAAAAGTTGTAATTAATAGTATGAGTTCTTCCGGGTCGACTGTACAAATGGGCATGCCTCAGGGCTCAATTCTCGGCCCCTTTCTGTTTCTTGTATATATTAATGACTTACCTTACATAGTAGGGGATAACCATGATATAGTATTATTTGCTGATGACACTTCATTAATTTTCAAATTAAAACGACAGTTATTAAATTACGACAAAGTAAATAATGCTATAGCTAAGGTAGTAATTGGTTTAATGTTAATAATTTGCATTTAAATGGAACTAAAACTAAATGTATGAAATTCGTAACTCCTAATGTCAAACATGTTAATACGAATGTAATTTTAAATGGGGAAGAACTGAGTCTTGTTGATACCACCATTTTTCTTGGAATCACACTAGACGCAAAGCTTCAATGGCTCCCCCATATATCAAAACTAGCTAGCAGATTAGTTCTGCAGCATATGCTGTAAAAAAGATTAGAACTCTTATCAGGGTTGAAATAGCAAAAATAGTTTACTTTAGTTATTTCCATAGCATTATGTCGTATGGTATTTTGCTGTGGGGACACGCGACTGACACTGAAATTATATTTATTTTACAGAAGAGAGCCATTAGAGCACTATATAATTTAAAACCAAAAGAGTCACTGAAACAAAAATTTAAGCAAATTATAACTCTAAATATATTAACTAAATTAAATATATTAACTCTGGTCTCTCAATATATTTATGAAAATGTAATGTACGTACACAAGAATAAACGTAGTTTCGCAAAAATAAGTGATATTCATTCTGTAAATACTAGGAACAGACACAAGCTAGTAGTACATATTACTCGACTCCACCGAGTCAGTAATTCATTCTTGGGGCGATGTTTACGCTTTTACAACAAAATCCCAGAAAATATACAAAATTTGTCATACGCAAAGTTTTATTAAACTAAGTTTGTATAAAAAGGGTTATTATAATATTAAGGAATTTATGGATAATAATAACTCCTGGGGAGGGTGATCGCTACCAAGCTATTTCTAATTTGTCTTGTGTTGTTAATTGTAAACATGATTGTAAGCTATTATTTGAAAAAAAAAATAGTCCCGCTGGGTTTCTTGCTGGTTCTTCCCAGGACAGAGGTTTTTTTTGCGAACCTGTGGTAAATGAAAAAATTGACTTTCAATAAGTATTGTTTATAATCTACATTGAATAAAAAAGTTTCTGTTTCTGTTTCTGTTTCTTAAACCGCAAATATATTTGAATGTACACAATACAATCGAATGTTTTGTTTATTAGCACAAAATCATTCGAACAATAATTTAAAAGTATATGTTTTAATTACGAGTGCGTCCCCGAAGTACACGACAGTCTCAAAACACGATCGTGAGGCAGTGTCCATAGACAAACCGGAATAAATTTTAATGCCCGAATCGTGGGCATAAAAGAAATATAGTCTGTCTTCTGATTAGTGGTAGTTCTAAGATCTTTTTTATAAAGACTGGTTTTACACGAGGTAGAGCCACGCTGCAGCTATATTATGGCTGTAGCACGACATGACCACAACATGTTGACCGGAGTAGGACCATACTCTCTCAAATACCAGCGTAAAATAGCAGCTTAATGCTGCTGGTTTTCGTGTGGTGAGTGTAGAGAACCGAAGACCGTTATTACTGGAATCAAGGCATTGCGTCTTAGTTCTCAGGGATGACAAAGCATCTGCATTTTGATTCTTAATTGAGGTTAAATGTAGATGTCTATGGGCTACAGCCTCTACTTACCATCAGGTTGACTGTGTGCTCGATTGTCACATTTATTCTATTAAAAAAAAGACAAATGAACTAACAGTCAACCTAATGATAAGTGACCACTGCAGACCGTGGACACTTGCAATTGACTTCAAACAAAAAGTCTATGGATGCGTTGTCACCTCTGAGGACTAAGAAATGAAATTCCTCAATCAATAATTGAACCGTATTATCTAGAACAGATCCAACCCACAAACTGGCCAAGATAATAATCATGAGTTTTTTTTTTCAGTTTATTTCCAAGTATAAAATGACTTCTGAAACTTAAAAAGTAATCCCAAAATGCATATTAAATTTTCTTTAAAATAATATACATATCATAATATAACAAGGATTCTGTCACAATAAAAATGCATGTCTCTTTCAAATGCGAATATCTTTATGTACTTTTTAGAGAATATGGGTGACAAACAAGTACACGTTCTACCTGATTGTAAGTGAAAGCTGTGGCCCATAAACATCTAAATCTATCCTTGATTAAGAATTAAGATGCGCTGCCACCCCTGAGGACTAAGATGGAATGCCTCGTCTCCAGTAAAAATGATCTCGGGTTCTCTTCACTCACCATACGAAATATAGCAGCATTGTTCTGCTTTTTTACGCTGGTCTGTGAGAGCGTGGTCTTACCCTGGTTAAGCCAACCCATTGCGACCACAATATATAGGTATATCGTGAACTCTCTCCTCTATATATAATGTCCTACAGACCAAATTTTGGTAACCCCGGCCAGACTTAACGAAGATTAGTCATCTGAACAAGACAGCATTATGGTGTCTGAATGTATGCGCAAGCACAAGTGCACTCTCTATTCCCTCACTCTCATAGTCCGACACCACCTGCGAAAGATCAGGCGCAGGACTATCCGAAGTATGGGGGTGAAAAACAGCCAACCTCTTCCTTTCTTTTAGGTTGCTGCTGAGAAGTTCTGAACAGAAAAACCCATTAGCTGTTTTTTCTATAAGGAATTCTCACTAAATAATTTTGACGCGACTCGGGATTCGAACTCATAATCAACAATGGTGTTTACGACCACTTAATCTTTTTTTTATATAGAAGAGGGGACAAACGAGCATGCGGCTCACCTGATGTTAAGTGACTACCGCCGCCGATGATCAACCGCAACACCAGGGGAATTGCAGGTGCGTTGCCAGCCCTTTAGAAAATAGTAAGCTCTTTTCTTGAAGGTCCCCTGGTCGTATTGGTCCGGAAAAATCGCCGGTGGTAAACTATTCCACAGAGAGGTGTACGCGGAAGAAAACTCCTTTTGAAAGGTACAGTGGTGGACCGCCAAGCATCCAGATGGTGTGGATGGTATCGGGACGTTTGCCGCGTAGTGCGTTCACGAAATTTGGCGGCTGGGATTAGTCCGAACAATTCCTCAGAGCACTCTCCATGGTATATACATATAATCACGCCTCTTTCCCGTAGGGGTAGGCAGATACCACTTCTTTCCACTTGCTACGATCCTTACATACTTGTTTCGCTTCGTCTACTTTCATTATTCCCTTCATACATGCTCTACGGTTTAGGGTACTCTTAACCTGGCCTTTTTTCAAGACGTCCCTAATTTGGTCTAGAAAAGTCCGCCTAGGTCTACCCCTTCCAGCACACTCCATTCGCACTCGCCTTATACACTTTTTTCGTCAATCGTTCTTCATTCATTCTCTCGATGTGGCCAAACCATCTTAGCATACCTTTCTCAATTTTTGTCACTCATTTTTTTTTTTTTTTCTCACACTTTCCATCTCTTGTAAACTTTGACCCCAGATACACAAACTCTTTCACCTGTTCAATTTGTTCATCTTCAATCACGATATTGCAGTCTGTCACTGCCTCATCTTTTTCAAACACCATCACTTTCGTCTTCTTTACATTCATCTTCATTCCCTTTCTAACAAAAGCTCCACTCATAGCAGTTACCATCTCCTGCAACTCCTCGGCCGAAGACGCAAGTAATACTTGGTCATCAGCATAGAGAAAACATTTGACGAGTAACTCATTCATTCTCAACCCACTTTCATTCTCTTTTAAATCTGTCATACAATTGTCCATGAACAGATTAAACAGGCACGTTGACGCTACACATCCCTGTCTAACACCTTTTTCGATATTAAACCATTCAGTGTATGCCCCGTTTATCCTTACACAAGCACTAGAATCCCTATAAAGAGATTGCAATGCTCGTATGAGGACACTGCTCACACCGTTCATGGACAGTGCTGACCACAATTCATTCCTCACCACTCTATCATAGGCCTTTTCTAGATCTACGAAGGCGCAGTAGACTTTCTTGTTTTTAGCCAAACACTTTTCGGCTATGCACCGCAAGGAAAAGACCTGATCCGTACATCCCATTCCCTTTCTAAATCCCGCTTGTGCATCCCATATTTTCTCGTCTGTTTCATTCACAACCCTTTCAATTAACACTTTCGTATACAATTTACCGACGACGCTAAGAACGCTTATATCACGGTAATTTATGCAGTCCTGCTGTGACCCTTTTCCCTTATACAATGGCACGATTACGGCTTTGCACCAGTCTCCCGACACTTGCCCATTTCGCCAGCACAGATTGAAAAGGCGGTACAGCTGACTAGCCACCAGGCCCTGTCCAGCCCTCAGCATCTTGACGGTAATCCTGTCATACCCTGCAGCCTTACCTAATCTCATACTTTTCAACGCTTTCACTATTTCATCCATGCTTATCTCATTTTCATCAACATTTACATTCGTTTCCGTGGAAGGTGGCAGATGCTGTACCTGCACTTCCTCTCTTTCAAACAGACTTTCAAAATACTCTTTCCATCTCTTTAACACACATTCTTCTCCTTTTATAATGCTCCCATCTTGACTCCTGATTGTACTCAGCTCCGAGGTAGAAGTTTTTCCTCTGGCTGTTTTGATGGTTTTCCAGAAAAACTTAATGTTTGACTGGAAATCTTCAGTGAGCCTCCTATCGAAATCATCTTTTCGTTCTTCTTTCTTTCTAGACACAGTTTCTTTCGCTGCTGTTTTCAATCTTTTATACTTCGTTCTTGCTTCCTTTATCTCGTCATCCGTTGCCTTTTGAACTTTTTGGTTAGCTTTTGTTGCTAACCAATCCAACCACGCTTTCTTCTTTTCTTGCACAACCCTTTGTACATCTTTATCCATCCACACGTTATCATTCTTTCTCCCTTTCCTTCTTTTAGCTACCCCGCATACCTCAATCGCAACATTTACAACCCCTTTCTTAAATTTCTCCCACAAATCTTCAATCACTCCTATCTCTTCTATCCCTTTAAAACTTTCTTTCAGTTTCTCTACATACTCGTCTTTCTTTTCTTTTTCTTGTAGATTTTCCACTTTTACTCCGTCCAAAACACTCGTAGGCTCGGCCCCTCGGTGTCGCCACCGTTTAAAGAGGCCACGCATTCGGGCTATGACCAGGAAGTGGTCTGTGTCGAGGCCTACACCGCGGTATGCCCGAGTGTCTAGCACTTTCTTCTTCAGTCTTTCATCCACAATTACAAAATCAATCATACTTCTAGACTCACCCTCATCTCTTGTATACAGATGGATCTTTTTGTGGTCAAACATTGTGTTGGTCACGCACAGATTCCATTCCAAGCATACTTCAAGCAGGCTTCTCCCATTGTCATTCACTCTCTCGTCCCCAAACATACCCAGAACTCCTTCATACCCATCACGCTTTACTCCAACCCATCCATTAAAGTCCCCTAACATCACGATCCGTTCATTCTCTCCGCATTTATTCAAGACCTCTCTCATGCTATCCCAAAATTCCTCTCTCTCTTGTTGTGATTTTAGTGACCCACCTCCACGCAGCTCCGTCGGTGCATAGACCCCAAGGATAAACAAGCGGGTGAGTCCGACTTTTAACCTAATCCAGAGGAGTCTTGGGCTTACACATTCATGCTCCATCACACATTCAACCATTCGAGATGAAAGAATCACACCAACTCCCTGACAGCCTCGACTGGTTTGGGGGACTCCTGACCAGTATGCCGTGTAGGGGCCATGAACCGTGGTGTCACATCCTTTCCTCTTGGTTTCGTTCACGCACAGAATATCAATGCAACGTTCATCCATCATCTGACATACTCCATCTACCTTACCATCCATCCCTCCTCTTACATTCAACGTAGCGAAGCGGCTCTCCGTGGGCCGCTTTTCGCCCCCGCGAGAAACGAGACGTGATGGGTGGCGAACCACATCGCCGCCATTTTGGTTAATTTTTTGATTATCCATTGCGTTCCCATGAATAGCGATGGAAAGGGTTGTCCCCCCCCCCCAGCAGAGCCCCGCATGCCAGAGTAAGGCTAGCCTAATTCTGGGGTCGCCCGGTCCCAGGGCAGTGTAGCACGCTAACGACTAGGCTCGCCCCTAGCCATGCATCCATCCGCGCGGCCGACGTTGGATTGGCGGAGGGTAGAAATAGGAAAACGGGAAGGATAGGTGGTGTGAAAAGGAAGAGTAAGGTAAGTTAGGGTAGGAAATAGGAAATGTAGGATATTACCGTCCATGAGGGCAAGGGATAGGACAGTAATAGCTAGGGTAGCCGGGGTCGCATACCCGTATACCATACCACAACTACCGGACAGGTAAATTGGGATGAGTATCCCTCGACTACGCAGAAGAAACAGCTTCGGCGATAGCACGCAGCCTTGTGGAACACCATCATTAATAGGCTTGCAATCGGAGCTTGCACCGTCTACCACGACCTTGATGCTCCGATCTGCAAGAAAGCTGGTGATCCAATCGCACAATTTCTCGAAAAGCCTTCGCAATGTCCAAACTAATGGCCAGTGCCTCCCCCTTGGACTCTACTGCCTCCACCCATCTATGAGTTAGGTAGACCAGAAGATCACCAGCTGATCGACCACGACGCAAGCCGTATTGGCGATCACTAATCAGCTGGGGATCCTCAAGGTACCTCATGAGCTGGCAGTTTACGATGGACTCCATTGTTTTGGAGAACAAGGAGGTGATGGCGATAGGCCGGTAGTTGGACGGGTCCGAGCGGTCGCCTCTACGAGGCAGACAAACCTTAGCTATAATACAGCCGCAACTGGGTTCACCTATGTAATATAAAACCACTCTTCTCTCTCGTTTTATCTTTTTCTAATTGTAATTTTCTGTTTTTTGCAAATTGCAGCGTGTTACCGCAAGATCGTGGAGTGGCGCGGCTTCACCTGGGCCGGTCGCCTCTCTTACGGCACGTATTTAGTGCACACTCTCGTCATAAAAGGCCTGATTGGTTCCCAAACGCACCCTACACACATGACAGATTATTATGTGGTAAGTTCTTCTTTCTGATTCGTTTAAAAACTTGACGTGGTAAAGCCATGCAGCAACTATATTTCAGTTGAAGCACAAATGGGTTGGCTATACCGGGGTAGGACCACGCTCCCACAGAATACCAACGTGAAATAGCAGCTTAATACTGCTATGTTTCGTATGGCGAGTGTAGAGAACTGGGTGCCGTTTTTATTAGGTAATGATATTTCTGACCTAATACTTATAAGTGACAAAGTACCTATGTAATGAATTTTTATATTTCCGCCAATTCTACACGTGGAATAAAACCAATTTTACGGATTGTAACGCGTTTAGTTTTAACTTTTTAAATCCCCGATGTTTCGGGTACTTTATTTACTTCACACATGGTTGCGGCAAGAGGGAGAGTCGAGGGACTGAGGTGCTTGGTGTCATAGTTAACGAAGCTATCCTCAACTTATAATTATTAATTTTTTGGTCCGATCTACGCAGAACAAGTTGACAGTATCTCAAATAAAGTCTTGCTAGTACATGAGTTTGAATTTATTTTATTAATTATGGGATCCAAAAGACATGGTAGCATCCAGCCGTTTTCACTATTGAAATTAGGATCTTTCTTTAAAAACCGCGTGAAAGAACACATCGCTGATGTACACGGAGTCGCTGGGGGGTCTGATCATGGGTGCTGTAAAGTGCCCGAAACGTTAAGAATTAAAAAGTTAAAATTAAACGCCATAAAATTATTTTATGTGTATTATTTTTTAGTCGTTTATATTATATTTTTTTAATTTTTATTTACTGTTAAAGTGATCTAGAAAGAATTTTCATGAAATCATAAATAATAGTTAATGACGCATGAAATTCTATTCATGTAGGGTATTTTAATGATAGTAACGAAAGATAGTTTCAACACACAACCTCTAGGTAAATGTTGACGGATTGCGTGTGAGTGTTCACTCATCAACAGTGAAATCCAGTGTTAATCGTGTTAGATCCTTTAAGCCTTCATCTAGTAATCAATTTTTATAAAATAAGGAAAGCAACCGAGCACACACTCCACCTGATGAATGTGGCCATTTCCGTCATAATGACGTAGAATTCTTACTAAGAATCATCGCATGTGGCGATAAATGTGTGTTAAGTTTTTCTAAATTGTTTTAACTACTTAGTTAAGTGCTTCTACGCCCAAGTTAATTCGACGTTTTCGTGATATCAACAGCTGGTTGTGCTAGCTGGGTCAGTGATGCTGTCGTTCCTGGCGGCGGGCGCGCTGTGGCTGTGCGTGGAGGCGCCAGTGGCCGGCCTCGTGCGAGCCGCGCGCACGCGCACTGGGGGGCAGCGGGTGGAGGGGCATTAATTGTTTTATTAAACGTTTTTAATTTCTTTAACTCTATTGTATTTTGTTTCTTAAAAACACAAATTTTAATACCCTTTTTTGTCTCATGAGAAAATTTGGCTGTCATTTCTAGGGAAGGTGCGTATTTACGCGACCAGGTATTTATATCAGGTATTTTCTTGCAAGTACGCCGACTAAGTGCCGACCCAAAATACTCGCAAGACTTCAAAGTATTTAAGTACTCTCGCTCTGTCGACACTCTACGAGATTCTGCTCCTTATTTATATTATGTTACGGATCAATGTTCTATCAAGGTATATTTACTTTAAAGGATTGGAAGTATTTTTTTTGTTAACGCGATTGTGCTCTTTATATGTATTTGCTTAAAAATCAATGTTCTATGCAAGTATTTTTCTTATAAGTCTTGAAAGTTGTAATTTTTAAAGGTTTGGAAGTATTTTTTTTGTAAACTCCATGATGCTCTTCATTTGTATACGGTTAGGGATCAATGTTCTATGCATGTATTTTTCTTATAAGTCTTGAAAGTTGTAATTTTTAAAGGTTTGGAAGTATTTTTTTTGTAAACTCCATGATGCTCTTCATTTGTATACGGTTACGGATCAATGTTCTATGCATGTATTTTTCTTACAAAAAGTCTTGAAAGTTGGAACTTATAAAGGTTTGGAAGTATTTTTTTTTGCAAACGTGATTGTGCTCTTTATTTGTATATAGTTACAGATCGATATTCTATGCAAGTATTTTTGTTCCATCAAGGCTTGAAAGTTTACTATTTTAGCATAAAATACGATTGCACTCCTTATTTATATATTCTTACGGATCAATTTCCGATGCAGAAGGAAAATACTTGAAAGTATCTCAAGCCCTGGTTTTTGGCGCTGGTATTTGAAGGTTTACGTACTTGCAAGCCTCGATCTCTCTTGGTACTCGATTTTGCAAGTACGACCCATCTCTAGTCATTTCCTACTTTATTATATAATCACTTATGTACAGGTCATTGAAAATGAAACTCCAGATGTATGGTGGACATAGCAGATGTATTAGCTAAGAATATATTTTTTTTTTTTTTGCGAATGGGAGGGAGGAGTGGTTATGTGGCTTCCTAATCTTTTGGTAATTGGTCTGCTAGAGATCCAGATCGTTAAGCCAATCAGAACTAAGAATATAAAAATCTTAAACCTACTTAATGGTCCAGCAGGACACTCTCTACATCGTGATGTTATATCACCTTGTAAATTTATTGGCGACACCTAGTATGCAATTAATAATACTGTTCACGGGAAACAACACAGACAACTAGACGACAACTGTAACTAGAAGACAGTGCTGTCTAGGAAACACTGCTTATATTGAACATCAAAATAATTTTACAATTAATTTGGAATCAGTTCCAAATAATTTAAACAGTTTAGAATACCATTCACTACTACTTAACTGTGTAATTTCAAAAATATATATAATAAAAACTGTACAAACCTGGTGCATCGAAATATACAAGGTATGTTGGACAAAGAATTAGAAATTGAATTATTTTAATATTCAATATTTTATTAAATACAATGACATAATATACATAATATATGTATTATTGAAAATTGAACGTAAGATTACAACACCATATTTAGGTACAGTAATCACTAAGTGGTCAGTTATTTCAAAAGAGATACTAAGTTACGTAGTACACCTTAATATTGGCTAATAAATCCATATCATGTAAAGAACGTAAAGATATTGTGAGCCTACCTATTGGGTGAACTGTAGAAATGATATATGTTAAGCTTGAGCACCTCATTGTTGTCAATGTTTTCAGACCGCCATATTCAAGGTAAACCTTTGAAAATATTAAAGAAGAAGTTTTGGTTAAGCTTGATAAACAGAATAAATCTCTTGTAGTATGCGAAGACTATCTCCTGGAAGCTTCTTCCTACAGTATTAAACTTCATAGTCAAATCTTACAACCTTAATAAATCCTTTGAAGTTACACGTATTACAGGTGTAGTGCAACTTATATTGATAATATTTGTCCAGGTGTTGTACAAATCCACAAATTAATAAATCAAAAACTAAGTTTAGATTATTGTGGACAACTGGTTTCATTATCTTAAATGCACCAAAAACAGGTAATTGAGAAAATCGTGAATGTTCCGATTAATGCAAAACGCATACTAATAGTAAGTAGTAATATGATTAAAAAAAGTCTTCCATCACTTTCTTACAAGAACAATTCAGACTATTGATATGGAATATTATTTACCACTTTATGTAATAAATTTAATAAAATATTTATTCGTGAAATATTCTGCATTAACAGTCGCATATGTCGTAATGTAGGGGCGACAGAAGAAATTCAAAAAGCAGACAAGATTATATGAACTTTACCACGAAAGATGAAATAATCTTTCCGATACTTTTAGAGACCACATAAAAGAGTGTGCTCCACAGCTCGATGTTTACATAGTATTAGCAATAAAATGGAGACTACTAAAAATAAAATCAAAATAACGTGTAGTATAATCTGTAGTGAGCCGGTAAAGATAAACCTCGTAACACAATCAATTGAAAAGATCAAATCAAAAGTCATAGCGGAGTTTAAGAAATATTTCACTGATATACATATTCTTATTTTGACAAGAAAGTCACTAAGTCATTGAATAGTTCTCCAACTGTCGCTGATTCATTACTCAAACAGAACTTTTAAAAGAATTTAAATTTGATAAAGTATTATCTCAAGATATTGTAAAATATTTCAAAACTTTTGATGTAAAAACCCATTATATGAGGCATTTTCGTTACAGTTATTGCGTCCATAATATATTCAATTGCACCTCAGTTTGCCATTATTTTAACACTGTTATCGAATCTGGTGTGTATTCTGATTTAACCAAAGTTATAAATAAATACAAATAAATATCTATACATAAAATATTTATAAAAATAATAACAGTATAGTAAATTAGCCTTATATAAAAATATGTAAAATTTATTAATCTAATGCAAACAACACCATCCCATTAGTGTACTGTTTACAAAACATTTAAACCTCTATTAAATTTAATTAAATTTGAAAGTAAAAAACGAATAAAAAGAGGGAACTATTTGAGTAAAAATTAACAAAAGGCAAATACAAGATTAAAGCAGTCGACTACAGACATATTAAATACCATCAAAAACATAAATGTGAAATGAGAACCAAGTTCAATATTATGATATATGCCTTGGTTGTTGACTTCAACGACAAAAGAAGTGAGATCTAAATGGGTGCCAAGTTCAATAGTCAGTCCTGAAATTAATTTACAACAACTTAAAATATCATTTCTACTAATAATTTAGGATAATAACATGTTGTAGCCTAAGGTCTGACTTGGCTAGTTCTCATATACATTCGTATGGAACTTCAGACTATCATGTTCGATGGCTAGTTTCTACCAGCAAGCTAAATTTTCGGAATAATTAAATAAGAACCGACAAATAACAGGTTTAGAACTTGTGAAGGTAATAATATAATCCGTATATGAAAACTAGCCAAATCAGACCTTAGGCTACAATATGTTATTATCCTAAGTTATAAGAAGAAATTGTATTTTATGTTCTTGTAAATAAATTTCAGGACTGACCATTGAACTTGGTACCCATTTAGATCTCACTTCTTTTGTCGTTGAAGCCAAAAACCAAGGCATATATCATAATATTGAACTTGGCTCTCATTTCACATTTATGTTTTGATGGGATATCATTACTTTTTGTACATAAATTTAGGTAGGTACTTATTTATAACAAAATTAATACCAAATGATTTTGGTAAACTACTGTATTTTCTTACGTTTACGGTTACGTTTAATTGTCTTTTTTGTGTTATTTTCTATATTTTCTTGTACCTTTGAAATGTTCGAGTGAATTGCCCATTCAGTATCCGGAATTTTTTTATGCGTTTTGTTGTTATGTCTACAATAGAGCTATCTTGTGACTAATTTGATAAGTTTGACTTGGATATAAATTGATAAGATGTACTCCATCTAAGGTTTCAGCTCTGGAGAGTCCAACGCAAGCCTGCCCTCTACTAAATATAGAGGAGCCTAAGTCGAGAGGAGCGCTGTCAAGGCTAAGGCCGTGTGATTTGTGGATAGTAATAACATATGCCAAGCAAATAGGGTATTATTCCCTGTGAACATATACATTACTTAATATCTGAAACTTGGCAATCGAATGAAATAGGCAGCTTTCATCGGGACGCATTGGAATAATTCGGTGTAAGGTAATTGTGTCACCCACCCGTAATTCTATTCTACGACTTATTGTACAATATAGGTAATAAAAAGATAATTATTTAAGACAATTTACGTAATCGTCCATCAAATTACCTGTTATCTATTGAATTCTCAAGAAAAACAATTTGTTAACATACTAATAAGTTCTCATTCTCAAACTAATTCAGAGTTAAGTATACTAGGTACTAGGTACATACATACCTACTTATAACTATACTAAAATTATTAATTTTTCATTTAAACTATTGCCTATACCATCTAGATACGCGGTACGTACTTACTAAAAGAATTGTAATAAAAATATAACCACAAATATATAAGTATTTTTTAACAAAACCTATGAATTTCGTAGCATAAATCGCAAACTTATAGGTCAAATATCGAGAGACAACCTGACAGCAAGACGGCGCTCGCGCTTATGAGCAGTGTTGCCAACATTAAAATCTAGCTCCCGTTGTAGAGAACACTATAATCCCGTCAAATCCCGTCAAGTACGGTAGACAAGTGTCAATCATTCATTGTATTGCACATTTTTTCGTATTTTTAAACTAAAAAATGAATAAAATTATAATTTAATTTTTGCCATTTCAAAATTATTTTTATTTCGGAAACAAATCTAAAAAAATATAAATTTTTGTTGTCCCGTTAAAAAATCCGTTAGCCGTTAAACACAATTTTTTCCCGTTGCCAACCTAGCTGTCCCGTCAAATCTAACGGGAAGTTTGTCAAGTTGGCAAC